TACAATTTTTCCTATGGAAGGTCCCGTTTTAACACTACAATTTGCAAATAAACTATTTAAACAAATGATTTGAAAATATTAAAGTGGAATATTTTTAGATAAATGAAAATAAAAATTTTACCTTCTTTTTGAGGATGGCGTTTTCCAAACGCAGTTTTTGGAGATTGCGTTCACGTTCGTCTCTACCAAAAGGAGGACCTCCACAAGCTGGACAAATCACATTCTTTAAAACCTCTAGCATTGCTTCATTCTCACATCGAATCTTATCGTTTTCTCCACGAAGTAATATGTTACAAGATCTTTCATCATGAGCCTATATAGCATATCAAAACATTATTTTAGAATATATTGATGAAATAAATTATAAGATTAATATTTTTTATATGGATCTGCATAGATGAATACTTTGCTTTGAGTTCTTTTGTTCTGAAACCAAAATTTGATCTGGTCCAGCTCGAGATTCACCTCTTTGCATAACTTGTGTTGTTGGGATTCCTCCGGATGAGGACATTCTTTGAAATAACTTTATTCATTTTTAAGAAATCAAAAAGTAATATGTTATAATCCAAAATCGTAATAGTTTTTTGAAATTAATAGAGTTAATAAAGATTTTACGCTTCGAGTCTCTGGATCTGTTGAGGAGTGTGGCGATGATAAATCCTCTTCTCTCTTTTCCTGGTTTCTACCGAAGTATGTTGTTTGTTGCCTGAGCTTCCACCACCATCACAATCCATTTTGTTCCTCACAAAAAAGAACGAGATTTGTTTTTGTAATAATGTTTTTTTTTTTTGTTAATTCACAAGCTAATTAGCATTTATATGGAAAAATGTGGTTGTAAGAGAGGTTCATAAAAAGAAAATAAAGGGAAATTGTGAATATTTACTTTTGGAGTGGGTATCATTATATTTTAAAAGGTAAGTTTTTATTTTATTTTATTCAAATATGTATGAGAGTGAGAGATATAAAGTAGCGTTTTTGTTGTGTACAAATGTACTGAGGTTAAACCGTATATATATATATATATATATATATATATATATATATATATATATATGTAAATATAGAAAAAACTTAATTTATTGAGAGGAGATTTATTTCTATTTTACAGTTGGTCAAATCATGTTTGAGGATAAACTCAACCCAATTAAATAACTATCTTTTTATTTTAGTTTCAAATTAATTTAAAATACTATAGATTTTTTAAAAAATAAAATAAACATAAAATGAATAAATTTCAACATCTACCTAATAAAAAAATATTTATTTCATATATAATAAATTTATAAATTTTATTATAATTATTCAGTTTTAGAACCAATAGTTCCACAGTATCTAATATTATTATTATATTTTATTTATTATATGAAAATATATTTTAAAAAATAACTGTCACATATTCAACTTTCTATTAAACTTTAGTATTTTATTAGTTGGAAAAGCTTGAGGTAATCATTAATATCATATTTAGTAAAATAGTATAAAAATAAAATATTATTTAGTTTATTATTACTATATATATATATATATATATCTCATTCCATAAATCCAATTACCAAAACTTTTATTGTAAACAAAAATTAATTGGAAAGAAGAGTAATTATTTAAAATTATGCTTCGAAAAGAAAAGAATCTATTACAATAATATTTAAAATAAATATTATCTTTTCATCTATTTAAAAACCTGCAAAACTTTGTGGACGATTTTAGTAGTTAGTAATGTTGCAAATGGTCGGACTACGATTGTAGTGTATGAGTTGATGAACCATTTTTAGGCAAACCAGATTGTTAACAACTGGATAAACACTGATTTAGTTTGAATAAAAAGACATAAATTTTGAAATTTTTATTCATAAAAATATATTTTCAGTGAAAACTAAACTAAATTGACTAGTTCATAATAGAATTGAACAAACATACGATCTAAATCTCGGCCATGAGTATATTTACTGTTCATCAACTTCGATCAGTTTATCATTAAAATAAGTATGATTATTAGATCTATTTTGATTTGGTCCGCTAAACTTAATTTAGGATCCAATCCACAGCTCCATAAACAGTATGAATTATCTCATCAACAATGGTCTTATCTGACCGAATCAATATTTAAGGTTAAAATCTTGTCTTTTTTTTATGAGTTTACACCCAAAGGCCAATTCTATATATTGGATTAGTCAAGGTCAACCAGAAATCATCCGATCAACATCCAATCAAATCAACGATCAAATTTATTTTTCTTCACCAAGATTCAAGCTCAATGGTTCTGTCAATCTCTTATTCTAGATTGACCAGTTCATAACCAAATTCATCCAACCCGTATTTTTAAGCTTGATGATGAGGACACATAAAAGGGTGTATTCGAATAAAAATTTATATTAAAATAATCAATTATGTGTTATTTATACATAAATTTATAAAGCCACTTTTCAAATATAGTGTTACCGAGCTACTTTTTTTTTAAGGTTTACACCCGACGACCAATGCCATGTCTGAATAATTGAATTAGTTAAAATCATTTGATCAACCACTATTCAATCTAAACAACGATCAAACTTGTTTCTTTTGGTCAAAATTCAAGTTCAGTACGTAGTTCTCCAATTAATATATTAATATGCACAAACATTCATCCTAAACGTCGGTTAATATACACAAACATTTATTCTCCTTTTTATTATTTCTAACTGGATGCCGTCGTGTGAAGTAAGCAAACTTATTTTAAAACAAATAACATGAAATTATGTTTCTCTTTGGGAGTCAAGACAAAGAAAGACTTAAAACATATAAATCATGTCATATGAGAACTTATACAGTATATATATACCTCTTTTCTTGTTCTTTTTTCTAAATAAATTTGAAAGAAAAGATGAATTATTAAATTTTGTAAAACATTCATATATGAATAAGAGTAAAAATGGAAGTTATTTTTTTTTTCATTTGGTCTTAGAGCATCTCCAACCATAAACCGCATTTTGAGGGTGATATATCCTTAAAATATGGATTTAAGGGTCCATTGCTTCAATAGTAAAACCTCAAATTCATTCCTAAAAAAAACTTAAGTTTAGCATTATAGTCCTCAATATTTATATAGATTAATTATAAGAAGAAAATTAATTAATTTGTTGACAATTTGGTTTCATCAAATGAATAAATTCTTAATCTGTTAAAAGACAATACATCAAGTAGAGACAAAAATTATGAGATGACTCAACTACATATGCACAATCAAGCAAAAAAAATAATCTTAAAATAAATGGAAGAGAAAAATAAAATAATTGTTAACAAGTTTGAACTCTATCGATGATCATTACACTTGATTTTATTCGATCTAAACAAGTAGGAATCATCCAAAAAAGAACTCAAGAATAACAAGAACAATCTTCGACTACGCAAAACTTTTGTGGACAACTTTTTGTGATTTTTGAGGTTCATGATCAAAATTACTTGAATACTAGTATTGTTATATGAATCTTAATTTTTATTATATTTATGTGTTTATATAATTTAATATTCATATATAATATTTATTATTGTAGTGTGATTTTAATTTTCATTTAAGAAATAGAATATGATTTTTGTGGGAAATATTCTTCTTCTGTATAATATTTATTATATATTTATGTTCATAAAAAGTAGTGTTTTTATTTGATTTAATATATGATAGTTAAATTTCTAAAAATTTATCTAAAGTATGTACGATATGTATGATAATAGAATACATTAATTAGATTATTTGTAAGACATACAAAATTAGAAAGACTAAAACTAAAAGCAAAAATTGGTTTGAGGTTTTGAACAGTGATACTTCAAATTGAGAATCTACTATTCACGCCCTCAAAAAATAAGGATTAGAGGGTGGGTTGGAAAACAATAAACCTCAAAATTTGAGAATTTGAAAGTGGGTTGGAGATGTTCTTATGTAAGACATGTGGCAAACGTGAAATTCAAAAGCCTCAGAACTCTAATTTAATATCATAGAGCACTTGTCGCCTTTCATTTCTTCTTCTAAAATCAAAGATCACAAGAGAAAAAAATAATGATGATGTTCGATGTTCCACCGGATTTGGCAGACGAGATACACAGAGTCGATGGCAATCTACTTACAATGGTGGAACGCTTTATTTAAAGACCAAGAATTCATCAAGAAACACTCTGATAGAGCACCAAAGCAGCATTCGGTTCTCACATTGAATGAATATAAAATTTCTTTCCTTGAGCTTCAACCTCTATGGAATCAACGCCGCTGCTCCATCTATAAAGTCGAGGTTGAACTTTACCTTAAAGAATCTCATTCTTTTTCAATGCGGCGGTTTATTGTTATATACCACCGAAACCAATAGACTTTGCCAATTACAGATCAACACGTTGCACCTTGCATATCAGTCCAGTTTCGTCTTCTATTATACCGTCAATATTTTTCTTCACTCTGAATTTTTCTATATTTTTGTTCATTATTTGAACAATAGTAAATCGATAAAGTCCCATTTCGATGTTTTTATCCTATATATATCAGAATTCAAATGTTGTTATCTCACTATTTTATTAATTTATCAAATATTTAATCATTTTCTACGGTTGCATCGTTATATATAATTATCAAACATATATCCTTAATACCACCCGAAGAAACATCTATCCTTTAAAATATGAAAAAAAATATATTATAACCAACCAAAAGTCCGAAACAATAAAAAAACTTTAAATCCCCCATAATAATCATGTCCTTGAAAACCATGCTAACCAATCCAAATAAATCCAAAACCAGACAAGAATAAAAAATATAATTTAATAGCAACAACAACAAAAGGGGAGAGAATCATGCAGAAGATATTCCCTCACTCAAGCATGATCAGAACAATTGAGAAAGAGCTTGATCCTTCGAATAGTGGAGCTGACCAAAGCACTCACTATGGCCACTGACTTCTCTTTCACCTCTTTTGTTTTGTCGATTGTACTGAGACAAGGATCTGAAAAACCAGCGAGAATAAATTCCCGCCGTCTTCAGCCTACATGGATCGCTGACCGTCGCTTGAGATTGAGAAACCAGATGGAAGGATTGGAATTCTGGCAGGGTCAACTCTGCCGGAGGCAGCGATATTCATTGCAGTCACGTTGAGAGGAGCGTACGCTATCACGCCTCCTTGTGCATCTATGAAACAGTCTTGTAGCATCACTATGTCGTCCTTGAGTGAGTATTGTGCCATAGATATGCAACTGTTCTCTGTTTGCTTAGGCTAAAATTGTATATATACAATTTTATTTCAGTTATATAACCAAAGGTTTAATTATTAGTAGGCTGTCAAGGAAATGTATGCATACCCGGAGGATGGTGAGACGGTTGAGTTCACTAGATCTGGTGAAAACGCAAGCAATTTCAGAGACTCTGTTTCTATTGCAAATAACGTCCCATTTTTACATGCAAATGTGGTTTGTTATTGCAAAGTAACTCAAGACAACAATCAGAGATTTAGAGGTAATAAAAAAAATGTAGAAGCTTTTTAAGTAAAAAAAAAATGTTTCTTTATTGGACAATAATCACATAGAATTCAGCAAAAAAATAATAATAATCACATATATGTTCATTTCAGACCTTTTTTAAAAAAAATAGTTACTTATAATATATCTTTCATTTTTTGCCAAAACAATTAAAAACTTGCTGGCAAACCAAATTGCAATTATCATCAAAATCACTCAAAATGCCAATTCAACTCATATGATAAAAATGATACTTTTTCAGTATCATACATTTGAATATGGATTAGTAAAATTAGTTACAGATGATACGTACCTTCGCTCCAGTCAGTAGCGGGAATGGTTAAGATGGAGGGGAGATCCATCCACTCTAGCGTGACGATCCAATGCTTAGCACCATAGCCTGATGAGCCACCACATAAAAAGCTTTCTATACATCGGATGTGTATCGGTTTTGTTGTCCACTTCCACATGCTCTATCCACGTTATCTGCAATATTTAATAATTTCAAAAATGTAAAAATAGACATTTCTGAGATTGGTATATGGGCAATGGAGACACCTCAGAGTGAGCATTAGGCAAAGTTCGGATGAGACAACCAGAAGGATGTTTGTAACAAGAAGGATTGTCTTTGTCCAAGTTAAAAATGCTTTGTGACACATCAGCAATTATCCAGACCCCTTCATCGATCTGTTCGCAGCACCTGTCTATAATACACTCTCTTGGTGGCACTAGCGGTTGCAAGATGTGTAGTTCCTCCTATTTCTATCAATTTCAGTCACATTCAAGAACATATCATGCATATATACTACGATGGAATCAGATTTCAAGTACTTCTTTGGCGTAAACACTATATTTAATGTGAGTCTAACTTTGAGAACACTCACAAAAGGATACTTAGACCTAAAGAGAACATAGCTCGAATTAAAATATATATATTCAACGTAAGATTGTGCCGTCTCAAACCTAAACTCGAATTGAAAATCTGTAAATTGAATGACACAGTACATTAATTATTTGATTAATAACATTATTAAGTTACGCAATGAAAATACTTCTTACCACTTGCAAGACATCGCAGTTTTCTATTATGGGAAGCTCGGATCCAAGCATCTGAATCGTCGTGGCTTTGTTCACGATAGATGGAAAGAGATTTTTCCATTTCTCCTAGAATAAACAAGTACATGTTCATATTTGTGTATAATTAACTCCAACTTAGAAAAAAACAAATTGTGTCTGGTAAGTTAAAACAAGCATGTCTCAAAAAAAGTTTAACCCTTAACAACCAGCATGTCTCAAAACTTCAAAAGTTAGAAACAAAATGTAAGAACGTCTTCCAAAACCCACTTAAGCTATTTGAATTAAGAATATACAAATCTAAGTTTAAAATATATTTTAAATGATATAACCGAAAAAAATAAATATTTGAAAATCAAATATCAAATGCAAATAGGCCACTTAATCTCACCCCTAATTCTAATATGTTTTATGATGAATGATAGAATACATACCGAATCTAAGAACATTTCGATCAAATTTGTTGCTTCTATAGGAACCACAGTGGCATTTTTGGAAAACACAATGCGAGCACTCAAGCTCCTGAAATTTTTGATCGCATGCAAGAACTTCTCATAGCTCTCTTGATCAATAACATATGTTCCATCCATAGACGACTTAACCCAAAAGGCTTCCTCGGTAAAGAACAGGTGCTTGAGTTCTCGAACCGCACTTGCCACGGTTTCAGTCAGTTGCGTTATGTCCATTTCGGATAGTGGTTGTGTTTGGATGGTTTAAGAAGTTGGTGGTCCTAATGAGCTAGCTAGCTCGAACAAGAGATTGCTTGGATTAGCTCTGTAAGAGTTGCAAGTTTCAACGATTTGCTGTCTCTTAGCAGAAGCGGATGATCCCACCATTGTTTCTCAGTGCTTGGTCTTGAATACAAAGTTGGCGAGTTCGTCATGCTAACAAAAACAAAAAACCTTTAGTACCGATTACTTTTTTTTTTTCATTTTTTATGGTTAATGTTGTTACTCCATTGTTTCACTTTTGTAGTGGTTCTGTCTACTTATCTGATATGTATATTCGCAATCAATACACAACATATTTGTACTACATATCATTTTATTTCAAATGTAGATGTATGTCATCTTGTTAAATGACAAACTTCATGATAGATGAAACAAATATCCAAAAGATATAGAGAAAATTATTGAAAATGATCTACAATGAGAAAATATTATATAATTAGGCTCTTTTAAAGAATATTTGATAAATACTAGCATTATCTTTCTAATATTTTTCTATGCAAACTAATGATAGATTAAATGCATATTAATAGTCGATAATTCATTATACAACTGAAAGTAGACTAAATATAGATCAGTAGCCGACTAAAGGTAAACTTATTGCAGATTAGCGCTAGACTGATAATAAATTAGTCAACCTCTCTTACAATTATTTATATGGAAGGTCCCGTTTTTACATTAAAATTTACAAATAAACTATTTAAACAAATGATTAAAGAAGATAATAGTGAAAAAAATTTAGATAAATGGATAAAAAAAAATTGCGTTCACGTTCGTCTCTACCAAAAGAAGGACCTCCACAAGCTGGACAAATCACGTTCTTTAAAACCTCTAGTAATGCTTCATTCTCACATCAGATCTTATCGTTTTCTTCAGAGAGTAATATGTTAGAAGATCTTTCATCTTAAGCCTATATAGCATATCAAAAAATTGTTTTAGAAAAATATCAATTCATTGAGATAAATATTAAGATTTTTTTTATAAGGATCTGCGTAGATGAATACTTTGCTTTGAGTTCTTTTGTTCTTAAACCAAAATTTCATCTGGGCCAGCTCGAGATTAAGGTATTTGCATAACTTGTGTCGCTGTGATTCTCCCGGATGAGGACAAGCTTTGAAGTAACTTTATTCATTTTTAAGAAATCAAAAAGTAATCTGTTATAATCCAAAATCGTAATAGTTTTTCAAAATTAATAGAGTTAATAAAGATTTTACGCTTTAAGTCTCTGGATCTGTTGGGGAGTGTAGGGCTGACAAATCCTCTTCTCTCTTTTCTTGGCGTCTACTGAAGTATTTTGTTCGTTGCCTGAGCTTCCTCCATCATCACAATCCATTTTGGTCTTCACAAAAAAAACTAGATTTGTTTTTGTTATAATGTTGTCTTTTTTTGTTAATTCACAAGCTTTTATTTTATTTAATTCAAATATGTTAGCATTTTTGTTGTGTACAAATGTACTGGGTTGAACCAAAAATATATATATATATATATATATATATATAAATATAGCAAAACTTAATTTATTGGGAAGAGATTTATTTTCTATTTTATAGTTGGTCGAATCATGTTTGAGGATGAACAAAACCCACTTGAATAAACATCTTTTATTTTGATTTACAATTAATTTAAAATACTATAGATTTTTAAAAATAAAATAAACATAAAAATGAAGAAATTTCAACATCTACCTAATAACAAAAAAACATATTTCATATATAGTAAATCTACAAATTTTATTAAAATGATTTAATTTTAAAACCTATAGTTCGACAGTATCTAATATTATTATTATATTTTATTTATTATATGGAAATATGTTTTTAAAAATAACTGTCACATATTAAACATTCGATTAAATTTTCGTATTTTATTAATTACAAATTTTGAGGTAATCATGAATATCATTTTAAGTAAAATAGTATAAAAGAAAATATTAGTTAGTGTTGTAAACATATGCTTTATAAAGAAAAGCAAAGAAGAGTTTAAGATCTTTTGAACTTCAGAGAGAAATAAAGAAAGATGAACATAAAAACTTCATTTCTTTCTTCTTCTGAACTTATGATTTTACAAAGAATGAAGTTACCTATTTATAGGAAAAACCTTACTTCATAGTGAAGTAAGCTAATCTATAAAGACAAAACTTATAGGTCAGCATTATCCATAACATATGGATAAGCATTATCTAAAACTTATGGATAAACATTATCCTTTAATATGATAATGTATAAAGACAAAAGCAAATGGATAATCACTATCCATTTAACACTCCCCCTTGATTATCATCCATCACTAATGATGTATTACGTACTGCCTCGTTAAAAACCTTATCATGGAAAAACCCGTGTGGGATAAAACCATGACAGGGAAAAGAGTGCAGTAGCGCTCCCCCTCGAAATGGCGCATGAGTATCCATCGTTGTGAAGTTGCGTGCTGCCTCGTTAAAAACCTTTCTATGGAAAAACCCAATGGGATAAAAACCATGATAAAGGGAAAAAGAGTACAGCAAAAACAAACTCCCCCTGGAAAAGATGGATCTCATCCTCTCTTCACAAATCTCGTAGATGCCGCATTCCAATACTATGAAATATCTAAATGGCCCGCACGGTGGGTTAATCGGCCCACATATATCACCATGTATTCTCTCTAAGAATACAGGGGATTCATTCCCAACTTTGGCTGGCGAGGAGGGCCTACATATGAGTTTTCCTTGAGAACATGCCTTACATGAAAACTCCCCCGATTGAAAAATCTTCTGGTTTTTCAATGGGTGGCCACTCGAATTTTGCACAATCCTTCTCATCATAACTGAACCAGGTTGGCCTAACCTTTCATGCCATACTCTGAAAGTGCTGGTAAACTTCTGGTTTACCGCAACATGTGATTCAGCCATGGTTATCTTTGTGCAATATAATCCGGAGGACATCATTGGTAACACTTCCAACTGATGTTTACTCTCCGTTGTAATGCAAAGATATTCAGTGCCATTCTTATTAATAGTCTCAATATGATATCCATTTTTGCGGATATCTCGAAAACTTAATAAATTCCGTTGAGACTCGGGAGAGTATAATGCATCTTGCACTACAAACTCTGTACCCCTTGGCAATGAAAAACTTGCTCTTCCGGAGCCTAGTATAATCTTTGCAATACCAGTTATAGTACTCACGCTTCTAGCGGAGACTTTCATTTTGAGACAGGAGAAATACCTTTATCCCTAAGGATTGTATGTGTCGTAGCACTGTCTGCTAGACAAGTATCTCTATCCATAATCTCAAATTCTTATATTTTCTGAATTTAAAATATTCATAAAAGATGCATTAATAAGTATTAAACACATACCTGGCAATACCGCTTATAGTACAATAGAACCTACAGCAAAAACATCTAAAGCAGAAGCATATAATACATCAAAACCATTAAGCTTTTGTCATTCAACGTCCCAACCATCATCCTTTTCTTTCATTAAATTTGTCCATCACACTTACTGTAAGTGCACTACTCAACATTCTCCCTTAGGAATGGAGTTAATTTAGATGGACAAAACTGATGGTTTCTCATCACGAGTTTATTATATTATTAAGCTACCAGGAGGATTTATATCAACTCCGAGCTTTGGGTGAATTCTCTCGCCTGGAGATTCAACCACTTATTTTCCAAGATCTTCAGGATCTTTACTCGTGATGGATCATTTAAACCATCATGGATATGGTGGCGTAAAAAGATCATGATATTTGCCTTATTTCATCAAATATCGTTTCCGACATATCGATAGTGCATCAAGAGATCATTTCTCTCTAGATGCACCTTTGCACCTACCGCCCAAGACATAATTCTTTTACACAAGTCAAGGATGGCGATCTCGAGCTTTGACAAATTATTACTCAATAACAAAAACTTAATTTGTTAGATTAAAAATTTGAGCATAGTAACGGTATAATAAATGACAATAATTAAAAGCAATATGAGGAGGCAGAGTCTACCATACAATTGCTGATTGCATAAATAAATAAATGAACAAATATGGGGATTTTAATCTCCTACATAATAAATAAATAAATATGATCTGAGGCGACATAGTCTGCCATGTGATCATTTTTAATTGTGGAGGCATAGCCTGCCATAACAATCCGCTCGGAGGAGACATAGCCTACCATCCCGGCATAATAAACAATATAATTATTTGATCGTGGAGGCAGCGCCTACCATAACGATCAGCTCGGAGGAGGCAGCGCCTACCATCCCGGCATCACATATAAACGGAGAAGGCAGAGCCTATCTTTCCATAAATAATAATATTCAAAATAAATTGAACATAAATGAATCTTACCTCTCTGGTATAGATCTATCTTCCAGATATAGATCAAGAGACGTTCGTGCTGATAATGTGTTGTAAAGTTATGCTTTATAAAGAAATGCAAAGAAGAGTTTAAGATCTTTTGAACTTCAGAGAGAAAGAAAGAAAGATGAACATAAAAACTTTATTTCTTTCTTCTTCTGAACTTATGATTTTACAAAGAATGAAGTTATCTATTTATAGGAAAAACCTTACTTCATAGTGAAGTAAGCTAATCTATAAAGACAAAACATATAGATCAGCATTATCCATAACATATGGATAAACATTATCTAAAACTTATGGATAAACATTATCCTTTAATATGATAATGTATAAAGACAAAAGCAAATAGATAATCACTATCCATTTAACAGTTAGTTTATTATTACTCAATCATGAATATCATCTTTGAATAATTGAATTAATTAAAATCATCTGATCTACCAATATTCAATCTAAACAACGATCGAACTTGTTTCTTTTGGGCCAAAATTCAAGTTCAGTATGCAGTTCTCCAATTAATATATTAATATGCACAAACATTCATCCTAAACAACAGTTAATATACACGAACGTTTATTCTTCTATCTATTATTTTTAACTGGATGCCACCGTGTCAAGTAAGCAATCTTATTTTAAAACAAATAACATAAATTTATGTTTCTCTGTAGGAATCAAGACAAAGAAAAGACTTAAAACATATAAATCATGCAGTATATATATATATATATATATATATATACTTTTACCTCTTTTATTGTTCTGTTTTCTAAATAAATTTGAAAGAAAAGACGAATTATTAACTTTTGTAAAAAAATCATATATGAATAAGAGTAAAAGTGGAAGTTATTATTATTTTTCTCATTTGGTCATCTCCAACCACAAACTTTATTTTGAGGGTGGCATATCCTCAAAATAAGGATTTAAGAGTCCATCCCTAATTATAAGAATAAAATTAATTAATTTGTTGACAATTTGGTTTCATCAAATGAATAAATTCTTAATCTCTTGAAAGACAATACATAAAGTAGAGACAACACTTATGAGATGGCTCAACTACGTATGCATAAGCATAATTTAGCAAAACAATTAGTCTTAAAAGAAATGGAAGAAGAAAATAAAATATTGTTAACAAATTTAAACTCTATCGATGATCATAATACACATGAGTTTATTCGCTCTGAACAAGCAAGAATCATCCAAAAATGAACTCAAGAGCAGTAAGAACAATCTTCGACTATGTCAAACTTTTATGGACAACTTTTTAGTGATCGTGGAGGTTTATGGTCAAAATTATCTGAATACAAGTGTTGTTATATGAATCTTAATTTGTATAATATTTATGAGTTTATGTAATTTAATTTTCATGTATAATATTTATTATTGTAGTGTCACTTTAATTTTCATTTAAGAGATGTAATATTAATTGTTATGGGAAATTTTTTTCTTCTGTATATTATTTATTATATATTTGTTTTCGTAAAAACTAGGGTGTTTATTTGATTTAATATATAATATTTAAATTTCTAAAAATATATTTAAAATATGTATGAGATATATGATAATAGAATAAATTAAGTAGATTATTTATAAGATATACAAAATTAGAAGGACTAAAATGAAAAGCAAAAAGTCGTTTGAGGTTTCAAACAGTGTAACTTCAAATTTGAGGATCTACTATTTACACTATCAAGAAAATAAGGAAACTACTATTTACACTATAAAAAATAAGGAAACTATTATTTACACTATAAATTTGAAAGTGGGTTGGAAACCAAAAAACGTCAAAATTTAAAGATTTGAAGGTGGGTTGGAGATGCTCTTATATAAGACATGTGGCAAGCGCGAAAGTTAAAAGACTTTGAACCCTAATTTAATTACATAGAGCACTCATCGCCTTTCGTTTCTTCTTCTAAAATCAAAGATCACAAGAGAAAAAAAACAATGATGATGTTCGATGTTCCGCCGGATCTGGCAGACAAGATACTTTGTAGGGTTCCGGCAAAAACATTGAGTCGATGGCAATCTACTTGAAAATGGTGGAACGCTTTATTCAAAGACCAAGAATTCATCAAGAAACACTCTGATATAGCTCTAATGAACATAAAATATTTTCCCTTGAGCTTCAACCTCCATGGAATCAACGCCGCTGCTCCATCTATAAAGTCGAGAGTTGAACTTTGCCTTACAGAATCTCATTCTTTAT